ATGAGAAAAAGAGCCGAACTTTCCAAGTTTAACAACACTTTCCTGATGAGTTTACTGTCTCAGCTGAGAGCTTTGTATGGTGGCCCTGAGAGGCCAAATGGACTGCAACTTAAGAAAACACCAGAAATAAGAAAAACACCACAAAACACAACAGAAACAGGAAAAACTGATTTCCAAAAGCACAAGGTAAGTGTTTCTAGGGAGGCAATAACCCGACGGAGCAGTTGCAGGAACCAAAGTATGCTTGGTAAGTGTGTTTTAATGTCATGGTTCATGTAATACTGATGACAGATTTTTAGGCTAACAGTCAGGCTAACACACTGACCTCTCATGTTTGGTTTTTTTTTTGTTTCTTTTTTTTTTTTAGATAAATCCTCCACTTATTTTAAGTGACTCCCAGCGCAATTCAGTTCCTGCATATTTATTAAATATTACCATATTTTGGTTGTGCTTTTGGAAATCATTTTTTTCCTGTTTCTGTTGTGTTTTGTGTGCTTTTGCAGCGTTTTTCTTACTGCTGGTGTTTTCTTAAGTTTCAGTCCATTTGACCTCTCAGGGCCACTGTAGTTTTGGGTCTTTTGTTGAAACATGGAAGTCCCACTTAGAGTAAAAGAAAAAGACAAAACGCTGAGTACAGACTTCAGTGTTCAGTAAAAACCCCCAAAATTCAGTTTAATGTGCCTGAAGCCAAAGAAATGAGAAACATTCGAGTGTCTGCAGCTCTAATCCCACAGAGTTGGTTTCCTTTAAAAATCTTTTATGATGATTTCATTTTTTGTTGTTGTTGTTAAATGAGTTGTGTGTGCAGAGTTTAAGAAAACAGATGTTAGAGGTTAAAAAGTACTTAAGAAATGATTATACATGATAAAGCAGCTTTACCAAAGATCCCCCAACTGCTCCACTGAGAGCTGCGAATGAATTAAACGTATTAATTCCACAATAAATAAATAAGTTTGTGTCATGACACAGAGGAGATCAGAGCGGAGCTGTGGGAGTCAGAGCGCCGTTTCAACAAACAAACAAACGGATTTTTAAAAACACTGAATTCTGAGAAATGAAAAGAACAAGCACAAATCCAACCGACAGGAATAACAACTCCCCACGGCAATTTCCGGCCGCTCCTCGGCCACACCGGCTTTGATATGTGAGTCGCTGAATGTCCACGTGTGACAGACAGTTGGAAGCAGATGTGAACCTGCCTCATAAAACAAGAGTTCTGAGAGCGAGCGGGAACAACAGGACAGAAGGACAAGAAAATAGCAGGCGACGGGCGGGGCCAGACGCGAACGCCATCCAACCTGAAGCCAGCACACTGCATCCAGTGTGCAGGGCGCAGATGTCTGCACAGATGTGCATGCATATGTAAAAGAAACTGGAGCCGGTAACATGAAATCGATGTGTCGTTCGTGGGTGTAGTGGAAACTGCGGCTGAAGCAGAATTTACAGCTTCAACAGATTCGTGCCAACGTTCATGTCATGAAGGGCGTCGTACAAAAAAACAGCACAGCCGAGGGAGGGGCCGCTTTTCCGGACCTCCCAGGTCTCCACAAACACACCCAGGGAACCTCTGGAGTTACGTGGGCGGGCAACCTGCAGCGTGCGGAGCGCCATTTATTATCTCCAACAACAAGATCCTCCTACATTGACGATAGGCGGTGGATGATCCTGTCGTGGAAAACAAGAGCATCCACCGCCTATCGTCAAAACATCCGCCTTCTGGTCTCATCAGAACAGAAATGAAACCTCAGCGTGACCGTCGCCCGGATGAAAGGACCACGCCGGCTTCCCGGGCTCTGAGAATCGGGTCCATATGATGCAGAGGGTGGACACCGCCCCCCCGCCCATCCCTCCGAGGTCTCAGCGTGCTTCAACTTTGTCAAAATGAGGATTTAATTTGAGGCGAAGCTGGAAATAAATAAATAACTGAGAAGGAACCCAGCGGGAAGAATCCTGGGAATTCTTTTGCGAACGCAGCCAAACACACGTCCACTTTGATTAGAGTCGTGTTTTTGCAACGCCGGAGCATCAGCGCTTTCGCTCGCCCGCTTACAAAGCTCATAGGCTTTGGACGGAGAGAGAGAGCGTGTGTGTGATGAGGCTAACGGCTCATAAAGGGAAGATGCGGCAATGCTTTGCACATCTCCGTAAACTAATTATAACATTGCAATGGCTGCAAAATGGAATATGAAAGAATTAACAATCAGTGAGAAAGACGGGCAGAGTGGGAAATATAATCATTGTTAGAGAATGTGTAGGACGAAGAGTAATTACATTTCACTCCCATTACACCTCTGGAGTTGTGTTTCCTCTCTTGTTATCATTCGGCCTGTTTCTGCTGCGATTCTGAAGCAGATCCATCCTGCTGTCCTGATTTCCTGTCATGCCTGCTCCTGCTGGATGTTCACATTTGACACCAACAAAGTTTCTAATAATTAACTTATGAACAGCCCAAAGGTGGATTTGAGCCATTTTTACACATAAACTTGCGTATTTTTCGGGAAACCGTCCGCGTCACGCTGCAGGAAACACTGCATGTGGTTCAGGTGAGGGAGCTACTTGGACAGAGCTCAGCTGGGTCGCTTTAGCAACACGGTCCAGCGTGAAGACCATCAAACATCTGATCAGACGTGTTCACGGCTCAAAGTTCAGCAGTGGCACAAATCAAAACAATCAGCAGCTGCATTTCAATGTTTTACGTGTTCGTACGACTTTTACAGACAAATAAATCGACGAGTCGGGATCACTCCTGCAGATCTCGCCCTCCTGCCTGATGGATGGAGATTCACTGCTGCTGGATCAGAGCTGCGGGGTCATTCCAGTTTGTGGGCTTCTGCTCGCCTCCCTGCTTTTACACGTACAAACTAATCTGGATCTGGAGCGGCACCGACTGCGAAACCTAACTGTGAAAAGACTCAGGACTGCAGTGCAACATGTGATAACAGCTGTGGAGAAGGAAGCTCGACTGATGCACGAGGGGGAAACAAAATCTGATCAGAATCAGAATCAGATCAGAATGGGGTTTATTGCCAGATGTTGAGGTTTACAACATTAGGAAATTGCTGCGGTGCTTCAGTGCAAACAATAAGAATTAAAGCTTGATGCAGGTCAGACGGACCAGAAATCCTCGGACAACATCAGAGAGATTTAATGACAAGCCCCAACGAGCCAGAGGATGAGGATCATTTTAACATCATTAAAGCTAAAACAGGAAATAAAACCTGAATGTTCAGGAGCTCGTGTGTGTGTGTGTGTGTGTGTGTGTGTGTGTGTGTGTGTGTGTGTGTGTGTGTGTGTGTGATCCTGGTCATGCTGAGACCACCAGCAAAGAGCTGAGATACACTGACAGCTCTGTGTGTGTGAGACAGCTGGCTACTGTTGCTAGCTTGACTGAAAATGACAGCTGGGTAACACAAGACTTTATATATGCCACCCACACACACACACACACACACACACAGGCTAATCTGCACTCTTTAATCCGAGGGCGTGCTTCAATCCATGAACTTTCCCTCCCAGGTGCCATCCAGCTCCCTCCAAACGCGCTGGGCTTTCTTTCCCTTCAACAGCTCTGGCACGAGTAAACAAGCCAACGGCGACTATTTTTAGCTTTAAAGTGAGTCAGAGGTTAAAGGAAGCCGTGTGGAAGCTCTCCTTCTTCTTCTTCACTGTTAAACAAACTCCAGGAACAGCCGACTTTAAATACCGCTGCACTACGGTGGACCAGCTGTCTGACCTTCACTCGTCATTCAGAAAAACAATCCACTCAGCTATTTTAGCCGGATGAATAATCGCGTCGCTTTATTTTTCTGAGATGAATCACGTTACAGGAGAAGGTTCTGGAACGCGCGCTCACAGATGAAACGGTGCGACTCACACTCCCAGAAAGAGCTGTTATTTGTCGTACAGTCGTCGGATTAATGCGTCCAAAAGTCTGAGGAAAACTGATTTAAGAAGAGCTGTGAATTATGAATTTAGTGCAACCTTTAGAGGGAGTCATTCATCCAGGGCTGACTGTAAACGTCTCAGGCTGCTCTTCTACAAGAAAACAGAGGCAAACAGCACACGACCCAGCAGGTCTTAATTTGCTCTAATTTGCCAAACGATCTGTTTTTCAGAGGAATCATACAGATTGCACCATTAAAGTAATAACAAACAAACTTTCCTTCTGCACGCAGACTAAACAAAAGCACTCACTGGACGCACTACGCCTCCCGGAGGCGAGGCTTTTACTGCAGAGGGACGACAGCTCTGCAGGTCAGCAACAACAACCTCGTTTTCTTTGGTTTCTACAGATCAGACGTTAAACAGCTGACGTCATCTAACATCTATTTTCAATTCAAATCACAACACCACCACTTTATATTGTAAGGTAGACCCTACGATAATACATACAGAGAAAAACCCAACAATCATATGACCCCAGTGGGAAGGAAAAACTCCCCTTTAACAGGAAGAAACCTCCGGCTGAGGGTCAGGATCTGCAGAGAAACGAGGCAACAAACAAAATGATTAAAAAACGTGTGATTGCACTGAAGTTTACTTTGAGAAAGTCAAAGAAATTAATTTGTGATCATTATTAATATTATTAATAACATCTTCTTGCTCTTATTTTGAAAGTTCAGTGGCTGTCAGCTAGTCAAACCTGGTGACCAGCTAAAGGAGGTATTAACCTGTAAACATACTTTGATGTACGAGGCTCTACTTTCTTTCTGGGTTAGTTAAAACGGGTCAGGTACACGGTGGACTCCCAAACTGACGAGCCCTCGGGTGCTTCACGCCTCTGACAGGCTCCATTTAGCTCCGCACTGCAAACACGTCTCCTTCCTCCTCCACAAACATAAAACGGGCCTAATCTGGGTCAGCTGTGAGCAGGTACACGTCTGACGATACAGCTCTCGTTTCCACACACACACCGCAGTGACCTTCTTACTGCAGCAGCCATCACGTTTCCTGTGTGTACGCCGTCGGTTTCCGCTCACACAGCATGTTTGTGTGGTTACCTGCATCAGTGTGCGATGAGTTTGCAGTGATAGGAATCTCCTCCCATCCCCAGCTGATGCAGGTCATCAATTCTCATCTCCGTGCCTGTCCTATCTGGCTTCTACTGCCGAGTTATAAATACACAGGCAGCAGCGCAGACAGCCAGCCTGCTGCATACACACTCATGTAAACCCCCGGGCTGTTCCCCTCCTCTCTCTTTATTTACACAAGTATTATTAGCCAAGCGTGCCGTGCATTGTTACTTACAGAACGAGCTGCACGTTTTTGCACCGAGAGACAATTTAAAAATCTGCTTTTATTACCACACAGACCTGCAAACGCAGGGAAAACATCTGCGTTTGACCAGCGAGCAGAGCGTGTCACTTTATATCAACAGATCTTTGACACGCCTATTATTACTCTTCTGCACTTCCCATAATGCCTTAGGGCATGCACAGAGGCAGAATGATGTTTCTGCAGCTTAACTCCTCCCCTTTTCTTTGTCTGTGCGTGGTTACATTATGTTAAATTGGCAACAATAACAGTTTCTGCTAGCAGCTCCTGTTTGCAGACACAGTTGACGCCAGAGTTAAGGTCACTTGGACAGAGTTCTTTGCCAACAGCCACTGACAGGTGAAGGACAAAGCATCGGTTCTCTTGTTGCATTGCAGTACCTTTGTGGGATACACATAAATACCAGGACCATGTTACAGATACCTGCTCAGTAACATCCAAAAATATGAATTTTATTCACCAAAACTGGAGCTCAGATCCTGTTAGTACAGTGATCTCACAGCAGCCATATTATTGGTCAGATGATGTCATCAAAAATGCTCCAACAGCACAAACACAGACCAGAGGTCCAGTTCAGGCGAAGCTAGCAGACCACCTGTGTCACCGTCCACCTGTAGGCCCCTCGATGTGCAAACATAACATAAGCTGTTAATGATCAGAGTGATGGAGAAGAGCCAACATGCAGATGGCTTACCCAACAGAGCCTCCACCAAAGCTCGTGGAAATGAAGAGCTAAAATTATTACAAGAACTATTTGATTTGACTTGAATGTAAAATCCTCTTTTTCTTATTTTTAAAGCTGCAAGCCAGCTAGCACCAATCCTTCCCATCATGCTTCGCTATGTTCAGGTCACCGTTCGGTGCTCTCCTCAGTGCCATTCAGCTGTTCCAAGTCCAACTGCAGGACAAACTCCAGCTCCACCGTCTTGGACTGCAGTGGACAACATTAGTCCCGGTTCTGCCAAATCGAACCAGAACCTCTAACAGGTGGAGACTTGTTTCTGCTAGGAGAAGTCGCCAGCGCTCCCAGCAGCAGTCCAAGATGGTGGAGCTGGAGTTCATCCACCAAATGAGGAACTTATTCACAATATTTATTGGGAAACAAAGATAGCAAGCACATTTGTTCAACCACCCAACCCTGCTGCCTCTGCGGCCCAGCGGGTTAGAGCTCGTTCGGTTTCTAGACAACATGAAGGAGGTGGTTTTAATGTTTCAGTCCAAAAACAACAAGAAATCAATCAAAAATCGACTTTTCTGTCAATCAAAGGCAGCAGGTCTGTGATCAATAACATTTATTAATTTGTTCAATCTGCTGGAAGCAGTAACTCACTCCATCAGCCTGCCAGCGTGTTACTGAGTCACTCGCGAGTGCAGCTCGTTGTACTCTCAGCGATACGGCCAGAGCGCCGCTCGCTCGCCCGCTAACTCACATTTCTGCCAGCCGGTAATTTTTTTTTTTTTCCAAAGGACATAATTCACTGCAGCCAGACGGTATCTTCGTCTACCTCCCTTCCCCTCGCTCCCTCCACGGTCACTGCAGACGTCTCCGCTTCGAGGCCCCATTCTTTATCTCTATGATAATAGCGGGCCACGGCTGATAGCCTTACAGCCCGAGCAATGTGACCTCCAACTGGCTGGCAGGGTTTTAAAGGCACCACGGTGTGGATTTTTATTTTTTTGCCAGGTTAAAGATGCCCCCCGTCTACTAAATGTATCTCAGCCCAATGGAGCGAGACAGCCAGCTGATATTTATCACTCCATTTTTGTTTTTCCTCTCAGTGGCGGATGTTACGGACGCTCCGCCGCGGACGGACTTAGGTAAATGTCACGAGGAATCAAACCTGAAATCCCTCTAAACTGTTGCAAATGAAAACATGTAAGAGAACACGGAGTCGCCGACAGCGTGGCTTATTTTTTACTGACGAGAACACGCCATCGGCGCTGATACAGCCGTGACTGCACGCCGCTAACAGGTTAGAGGAGGTGTGAGAGCACAGCTCATCTCTGAAAACGCCCGAAAAGAAAGACGGTCAGAGACTTGCAACACAAAGGCTCAAGACTCAAAACTCGGACGTGCAGGTAAAAACTAAAAAGAGACAATTCAAGGTTGGTAATTTGGTTATTCTGCTCTCGTGTCTCTACTTTGGTCTTTGGATCACATCAACAACTTCGGCCTTTGTGCAGCTTCTGTGTGAAGTGGAAAAAAAGCCTCTTTGATGCTAATCAGTCAATTAAAATGTGATCTTCTCTGCAGACTTTCGGCGTGCTTTGATTTAAGAGCACTGTGCCGCAGAAGGTTCTGTGAAGGTGACGTTGCACTTGTGTTATCAAAAAAAGAAAAAGTAATAAGCGCCCACAAACAGGAGAAACTGATAACATTAAAGGGAAGGACGCGGAGAAGGCAGCGCCTGGCACTGACTGAAAGGTTGAAGGCTCGAGCCTGAACATCAGGAGATTTAGATGCTCCGCAGAAAAAAGGAGAAGGCAGAGTTTGTAATGGCAGCAGCTGAAGGCCTGACCGACTGACGTGGAGAAGATGGAATAACAGTAACAATAACACGAAGAAAGAGTCAAAACAAGAAACTCCAAAGAGCCGCAGAGTCTTGAAATTAAATCACTGCATCTCCTGCGTACCAAAGGAAGAACGTGGGAGCAGGTCTATCAACATCAGTGCTTTCACATTCATTACCGGGCGAGTTTCCCATCACACACTGGGTTAATCTACTGTGACGTCCTGAGCTTCTTGAGGGAGAACAGCAGGAAATGACTGAACCGAGATGTGTGCCAGAATCCATGTCGTTAGTTTTTTTGGCCACATTAAAACAATCGTAGCTCACCGGCCGCCCGACTCACCAGATCTGTCATTTCTGCCCAAAAGTAATGACCGAGTTGAAGGATCACACGCCCATTGCAGAGGCACAACAGGACTTTAAATGCTCCAGGTGCACGAGGACAGACTTTGAGACCAAAGGTTCGACTAACACTATGAGTCCTCGTCTGTCTTTCGAATCAGGAAGAATCTCTTATTTCCCATTTAAAGACTCCGAGCTCAAGCTCACCTATTCTTTACCGCAGGTTGGAACCTTTGCTCGAGTTCAAGCTCAAACATAGCGGCGACGGCCGAGCAGCTGGGCTCTCGAACGATGACTTCCTCAGTTCAAAGACATACGAGCTGGAGCCAGCTGCAATTTGCAGTCATTTGACTTAATTTTTTGGGCGGTGCTCTTTCTTTTTAAGCTTTGAATGATAAGAGAAAGTTTGTTTTTACAGAGCAGAATTCAGGATGTGAATGATGCGCGGCATGTTTGCTGGCAGACTAAATGCAGAGGTCTACTCTCACATTTCAGACACACGAGGTCGTGTCAAATACCTGCTGCTCAAACACAGCCAGAGTTTCTAATAATCACGTCACCTTCAGACAGATTAGCAGTTTTTTTTTCTACGATTGGGTCTGCATGATGTCATCAAGGATGGATATTTGCATGTTTACAAGGTCAGACAGAGGATGAACTGATTGGCTGAATGACCAGGACGGGATAAAGAAGGATTATGTTGAACTATGAATCATGCAAAGTTGCTCTAGAAGAGTCCAAGAAGAAAACATGGAGGTGGAAATGAGTCATTTTAAAATGAGAGTAAATGTGCGGTCGGTGGGTTTGAAATCTGTGCCTTCATTTTGTTTGATCCCCCCCTCCCCTCGTGTATTTACTTCAGGTGTTTGTGTTTGCAGATTGCCACGTGAGCAACAAAATGAAGCCTTTTTAAATCCAATCCAACTGAGCTGTATGCGTCTCTTTTTAATAAAAGGAAAAACCTAATTTCACAAAGAGTTTCTTAACTGTAGGTGACGGCTGCCTGCAGCTTGAAGAAAACAAGTCATAAAACTGCAGAGTGCTTCATAAAACAACGACGTTCACGCTGGCTTCATTCAAAGTCGGCAATTTGTGCCGTCTGCAAAGTTATTGGAGTGTAATTTGGGTTCAGTTACTTATAGTGTGACAGTTTGGAGGATCTGAGATATGGAGTCTTTGCAGCTCGGCTTTCTCTAAGTCCTCTGCACACACAAGGCACGTATCGAGGATTTTACGCCAACCATTTGACTTTGTTTTATGCAAAATCCAGAAAATGAACATTTAGATAATGGCTAAATATATATGATTACCAGCGAAGGCACAAAAATAACAGTAAAACCTCCAAAAAACACACCAGCAATCACCTGAGACATTTCTGGAACCTTCAAAGTGCTTTAAGATCTCAGGAAAAACTAAACTTGAAGGCGCTCTGCCGTCATCTGCTCTGCGTTTAAGTCCTGAGACATCAGGTGGATTTACGGCAGAGCTCCTATTTAAGTTCACCTCAAACCAGGTGTTGAGCCTCTGCAGAGCCGGGCCTGTAATCAGCACAGCTCGGCTGGAATGATATGAATTCTGTTTGAACATTCAGGATGAGCCTCACACCCCTCACGGCTGCACAGTGAAGCATGCAACCCCCCCCCCCTCAAAGAAACCACAGACTTTTAAACGTTCTGCTTGTTTGTATGAACCCCTGCTTTTTGCTTACCATACTTAGCAGATATGTATGCATGAATAAAGTTCTGGCACTTGGAGCAGATCTAATTTTACCAAGTGGAAAGAAAACTAATCAGCATCTGTTTTGCCCTCTTTAATTTAAAAGTAAAGACAAAGACGGGCTGCTCGGCTGCGCCGTGTTTGTTCATAGAGCAGGAAGAGACGGCGAGGATTTTCTCTGAAGTGCAGTAATTCAACCGGAGCGTCCTCTCTCGACTCGTTGTCATTCTGAGATGCTAACACCCTCACTAGCACGGCCAATACATCCATTGTTTGCTCTGTGCTATCGGGATGTACAGGACCGCACTTCAAGAGACCCACTTCAGCCGGCAGAGAGAGAGAGGGAGTCATTAGGGCAGGAGCGAGCAGCTATCTCTGCATGCAGCAGTACGTCTGCTGCTGGCAATCCCTCCACACAGACAGCCGATTGTTGGATGTACAACACTCGCTGCTTTACATGACGCTAAATATCACCGTTATCCTGAGGTCTAAACAGACTCTCACACTCATGTTTCTCCTCACCAGTTTTATCGTTACCGGCTCCATCCCCCCAGCAACAGCTGTCGTTTACCTCAGTATAGGAATACCATCCCAGGATAATATTCCTGGAATGGTATGAGAGGGACTGTTTTGGGTTGTGAGTATCCACCACTGGTGACGCCAGGATACAAAAACACTGAGTCTGAACCTGACGCAGAAACGTGTCAGAAGCCGGATGGGCCCGGTTCTGCTCATTTCCTGCTTCGCGTTTTTATTCTTGGACTCTCCTAGAGCAGCTTTGCATGAGTCACCATTCAAAATAATCCTTCTTTGGTTTATACTGAGTGTTAGTGCAGGCGTTTTAGCTCCACCTCTTTCAGTCAACTTTCTTCTTGTAGGTGTGTAGAAGGAAACAGGTGAAATTTGAATTCATAAGTACAGATAACTCTTAAAATTCAGAGCAATCCTTTTATATACGACATCGTTAACGTGAGCAGTAAAGCGTAAACAATGGACCAATAAATGTCGAGACATCTGTGTTATGAGCAAACAGAGTATTTAGACTCTGAATGATTAATAAGTGCCACGATAACTTCACATACTTAAAAGGCTACACAATGTTATCACCTACAGTGGGACACTCCTTCCCAAATACGACTGGCTCAGTCTCAGATTCTCTGAACTGGAGGAAACCAAAAGGACGACGAGAAACATCTCATCCTGAACAAAGGTCGTGACTCCAGGCAATTAAAAACAAGTTGAGAAGATGCAGATTGACAGTAAAGGCACCATTTAACACCAAAATCACATCACATGATGGAGAACAGGTTTCATAAACCCAACCTTACAGACAAAGAGAGACCATAACCATCTACAAGCAGCTGGACCGCCCTCATTTCCTGTCGTCAGCAGAGATCATCGTCCTGAAGCTCACCTTTGTGCTAGGGGTTAGGGTATTTGAGTTTGAACTCCAGCAAAGGTTTCAGCCTCCAATAAAAGTCTTCAGATGATTCTTAGATCTGATAAACTGCTTTAAACTTTCTCTGAAAGTCGGCAGTCGAGATTTTGTGGCGTCGATAAGACTCCGCCGCCACATCGCGAACAGCGGGGAGTTTGGGTGTGAGCTCCACCTGCAGTCTGTTTGCCCTTGAAGGCTATCGGCCAATCAGAGTGCAACGCTCTGAAGCGGCAGCGACGTCAACAATACCGTCCCTCCTGAGGTCCGCAGCGCTGGAAGGATGCTCAAAGGCAATAATCTGCTCCCTCGTGTAATTTTCCTCGACTCACCCATCCTCCTGCTGTCACCACCTCCACCCATCCTCCACCTCTGTGCTCATTTTCTCTGCCGCTCTCACGCCACGGCTTTCTATTAACCCCATTTCTCTCCCTGTCTCACCCTCTGCCGTGCCTTTCTGCAGTCCTAATAAATCAGCTCATCCCATTACTACATCCACTGTCATTCCCAAATTCCTCCTCCATCCCCGCCGCCCGCCAACAAACACGCCGAGCACGTGCACCGCCACCGTGGCGTCTCCAGGACGTGAATCATCAGAGCGAGCTGGCAGACGGCAGCGCTCGTCCCCTGAATGACTGCCTGTCATAAAAGACAGATTGACGGATGAATGGGTGGAGAGAATAAACGGCTTGATGGGTGGATGAGTGTGTGGATAGATGGGAGGGTGGGTGGATGAAAAGGAGGGCGAATAACTGGATGAATGGGTGAGTCATGACATCCTGATCCGTTACACAAATCTGCAAATAGGCTCGGAGATGAGCATTCATCCGCCGTGACACATTTCATGTTTACTTCCTGCTGCAGAAATGCGAAGCGCTCCTTTAACAGAGAGCTGGAAGCTTCTGGATGTATCTGAAACTCAATGTCTCTGCAGTCGTCGCCAAATTTATGTTTATCACACAAGTGGATTATCCAGGAAATATCAGGCTTTATTGCAGCGGTGGCGGCGTTCACTGACGGAGACGCGCAAAAGCAGATTGTAAAGAAATCGACGAACCTGATAAAGTTAAAAGACAATTTAGCCAAAAATATTACTGATGAACTTTGAAGCCATTGATTCACTGGTTTCAGACCAACACCTGGTCATTCATCACAGGCTGCCGCCGTGTCACGCACATGTGACGGTGGAACTGCATGGACGCCGATGTGCAACATTTCTATTCTTAAAGAGCGATGAGGGTTCGCCTTCCTGGTTAATCCATCCACAGGTCAGATCCATAATCTTCTCCAGCGTGTCCTGGGTCTGCCCTCAGGGTCCCAGTCAGACATCCCCGAAACGACCCACCTGGGAGGTCCTGCTGACCCACCACAGCTGGATCTGTTTGATGTGGAGGAGGAGCCTCCTCACCTCAGAGGCCGAGCCCAGACGCCCTGCAGAGGAAGCTCATGCTTCTAACTTCGACCTTCTGCTTTTGGTGTCCACCCACAGCTCGTCACAGCTGACCAGTTCTTGTACCAGCTAAGAGAAATGACACTTTAACATCAGGCCGGCTGTGGCACCGCCGTGTACCTCTCATTGTTCAGATGCATATTTTAAAGCTTTTAGGGGCGCAGAGAGCCGACAGCAGTGTGGACACACCTGTTGGGGTGCAGACTGACACCACAGTCCAGATGTTTAATACAATCTGTGGAAACAGTAGGAATTACCCATCATGCCTGTGACGTGAGTTTACCGTCCTATCTTTTAGTTATAATCTTTTCTCAGTGTTTGATACCCATCAGTAGAAAAGCTGGTGGCTGATGCTGGTAACTGCCATCAGGTTTCCTCACATCAGCCTCATTTGTGAATATTAAAGATGTTTAATGCGCACTAATGACTGCAGCCTGCACTGCTGTTGTTTGCGCAGCTGTGAGAGCTTTTGTTCTCTCTGAGTGTTTTTAACTCCGGTATTGTTGCCAAGAATAAATCTGACTTTGCTGTGATTGTTGATCAGAGAGAAGAAGCCATCATCAGGATCTCAGGCTCCGGGAGCTTAATCTGATTATCTGAGAGAAATAATTGAGTCTTAAGCATAATAACCATTAACTGCAGCACTAACGCACTAATAGCAATAATGCTGAAGTGATTATTAAGAACACAACCAGCAACAGATCTCATGAACAGTGAAAAAATGTTTTTTCAGTTTTCTCTGCTGAGAGTTTGTAGCCAATTAACTGACACGTTCATCCAAACGTCACTGGAAGAACTGATCGCCGAACACGCAAACGGACGTTTAAACGCTGCGTCGTTCTTCTCCTCCTGCAAGAATGCATCTCTGCAGTCTGGAGTCTTTTCTCCTGTGTGTGTGCATGCATGTATGCAAGTGTGTACACATTTGTTTTCACGCCAGTAAAGTCACCTACTCAGAAACCAACTGCACCACACACACACACACACACACACAGAGGGGCAGGTGTGAAGCTGGCCGGGTGGTGTTTGACTGTTAGATTTAACATGTCAGCTTCTCTCACGTCTCATTTCCTCGGCCGGCTGTATTTGTCTGTCGCTGATGCTTTAAAAGCTCCGGGCCAGGTGGAAGGGCCGAGCTGTCTGCCTGAGTCAACAACGCACACATGTAAGTACACACACACACACACACACACACACACACACACACACACACACACCTTTTAAACTAAAGCCAAAATTTGAGGTGTAATCAGACAAATTTAATTGAAGTCAGCGACCTCAATGAAGGAAAATAGTCTCGCTGAGAGTCGCGTTGTGTCATTAGCTCATCATTAATCATGCATCAGTGTGTAATCAGCATCTTACTGCTGTAACTCGCAGAGGTGGAGCTCATTTCTAAATCTTTATTCGGGGATGGAGCCAATGATCGTTTCCATTATGGATGACTCTCCTGGTTGTTTGATCAATGAATCCCTGATCGGTGTAGAGCAACACGTCACAGTCAGAGCTCGGCGTGACACTGTGATGTTGTTTTTAAAATCAAACCCCCCCCCCCCCAAAGAAAAAGAGAAGTTGTGCGACCGTCCAATGACTGGGCGTTTGTTTCCCCTCTCTGCTGATAACTTTGTTTAAAAAAAGAAAAGAGCTGACATCTTAAAAGCAGGCCATCTCCTTTTGTGTCCAAAATATTAATTTTGTGCAACTTTCATATTAATACAAAAAAAAAAAAATGCTCTGAGAGGGAGTGCAGCAGAAAAAAAAAAAGAGCAGCAGAAGAAGCATAAATCCATCAGAGGAAATGTGTTTCCACCGCCGGAGACAAATGTGAAAAATGCTGCTTTTCCTCTTCATGTGTCATTTCTTTGGTTCCCGAGTCTCTTTCACTTTCACACTTGCACCACACTCATTAATTTTTAATAATAAAGCATGCAAATCGTCTCCAAAGCAGCAGCAGCAGCACATGCCTGATAACAGTCTCTTTTTTAACACCACACACGAGATAAGCAAACAAGCGCTTATCTTTTTTTATTTCAGCGCGTTGCTATCACAGACATCGTCAACAAAGTAAAACTGAGTTCATGCAAACATTTGTGTCTGTTTAGCACTTTTATGCCCCCCCAGCTAACGGGCAGTTCTCCATGGCTGAAGCTGAATTCCTGAAGCAACATGTCCACACATGCGAGCCTGTTTCCAGCACCTCACTAAGATCTACTGCACGTCATGAAACAGCAGCCTGAGAATGGAAACCTGACCGATGCCGCTCCAAGAAACAGAAAATCTGAAGATCACCGGCAGGGAAGAAGGAGCAGAAACGAAGAAACGCTTTTACAATCAGGTTTTATTCAACTGAACTTTCATCGTTGGACAGCGGTGCTGGGGAAACATCCACCAGGTGGCGTCCCGCCCATGACTGGGTTGGGTTACAATCCCCTGTTTTCACTGATGTTTTCCAGCCTGAATGAGAAGCTTAAACTGATCCCCTGCGATCAGGGCGAGTGGACACAGACCACAAACTACTCGAAACTTCTCACGTTTCCCATGAAAGCGTTTCTGATCTTCTAGTTTCTGAACACGTGCCGATTTAGCATGAGGCTAAAACCAGACCGAACACCTGCAGCGCAGGTTGGTGCTGGTTTAACGTCTGGAAGCTTCTGTTTGGACGAGCCGAACTGTAATCCCGACAGTAGGAGGCTTTCACAGATTACATCTCAAACATTACACATAGTGGGTGTTAACCACAGGGTGCTGAGTTTATGAGTGTATCATATATGAGTGTAGCCTGTATATAGTAAACATGTGTGGACTGTATAATGTCATATTCTGAATATTGATGTGTAAATACTGGAATATAAAATAAGGGGGTGGGAAGAGAAAAAGTGTAAACTTCTGCTAAACATTGTGTATTTCATGAAAACTCGATGTTTTTAAGTTTTTCTTTTCTCGGGTTTTTTCACTTATGTTGGAAATAAAATTATTCCATCCATCCTATGAAAGGATTGGACACTCCAGATGGGTCACCACTGAGGGAAAACAGGAGATGACCCACAAATATTCAATATCATATGAATTCTGAGTCCATGAGCATCTGTCCAGTTAATATTGAAGCATTAACCTTCGGCCTGTGTGGGCTAAAGGTCCGCATCTCCCACACTCTTCTTTCTTTATGGATTTAAAATCTTCTCAACATGAACACGCTGTGAAACTGTTCGGTATTTCATGTAAGTTGGTGTTTCCTGTTGACATCCGAGCCACCGAGGGCTTGTGTACGATTATCCTCCCAGCCTTTAAGACTTTTCATCAGTTTGGACCCAGAAAAACAGCAAATCTATCGTGTTTCAGACTTTATTTCACATCTAACATCTTCTGCTCTGTGAAACAAAAAGCAGCCCCAACCCCAGACGGGTCGACCTGATGGTTACAAAATGCTTGGCCCAGCAAATCAAACGGCACCACCCAGGCTCCGGTCCTATCGCTCGATCTGCTCGCTGCTGGAAGCATTTCAGCTAATCAGACTCCATCTCGGCGGTGAAAATCACGCAGCAGCGTGTGGCCGCTGTGTCGACACCGATTTCGAATCACAATTAGGTCCTCTCCCGGCACCGAGGGTTCTGGCACGGCGGAGGAATTCCTCCATGGTTGACCGGACAACTTGGAGCGCCATTTGGCTCCATGTCCAGAAGGCTAACCAGCCAAAACAGGGGGGCTAATAAAAGCGCCCACTGATAAGCAGTTAATGCTCCAGAACTAATTACTGAACTGCCACCCTGTTTTCTCTCCTCCCAAATCAGAAGTGTGACATGTGAGCACACACGGAGAGGGGGGGGGGACTGGGATATCTGCTGCTGCCACGGCAACCGGGCAAACAGAAGGAAGTAACGAGGAGCTGATTCTGACCTCTGATGTTCATGAGGCACGTCGGCAGCTGATCCAAACAAATATGAGCCACAGCAGTGCTCCACAGGTACGAGCGCCGAGGCGGCACTACAACATCGACGTCCGCCCCCTGCTGAGCTCTAAAATGGATCCATATCAGCAACTACAGGCCCGAGCGCCGCGCCGAGCATCGCTCATTATGACCGGCTCTGCTTTCAGTCTCCCTCTGCAGCAGCAGCCGATGTCAGATTTGCAAGAAGCTGCCACCGTGCATCCGCAGAGCCCCACGTGCACGTGACAAACAGGCTTCAGGGGACATTTTACTCACCTGTGGACGGCGCCGCTGCCACTCATTTACAAGTAAAGGTCTGAAAGATAAGGCTCATCGATTCCACGCCACACTTTGCTCTGCATTTAGATCTCAGCTGTTTTCTGTAAATGTCTTTGAACTTAAACTGCAAATCGACCAAAAGCAAATAAGAAAAGCAGGAAATGAATGTGAGCTGTGGCAGGATCGTGGAGGGGCATGCAGCGCTTAAGTGAAGCGACTACAGTAACAGAAACAAGATCGTCACTGTGAATTTCCGCTGTAATCGAACTTAAAATTCACCAGTATGGTTTCCAGCCAAGTGTGACCTGACTATGATGTGAGGTAACACCTCCAAAGCCGAGGTGGTGGTTGTAGCGTGGGAGGACGAGTGGCCGCCCCAAGTGAAGGACTTTAAGCATCTACAGCATCTCTGCTGTAGCAATGCGCCATGGCGAAGCGAGAGCAGAGTGCGAAGGCAGTCCTACGCTGATCTATGAGCACAAGCTTTGGGCAGCTCCTCCCCCTGAGGGGGGCGTCCTCCTTATTTAGGACGGTGGAGGATTCTTCCTGTTGCCGGGTCAACACGGCCCTCACTTCAAGCATGTGTGACATTAGTCAGCGAGCATCCGCACAGATGAGCTCGCCGTGGAAGGACAAACGAGTTCTCCTGCCACCATCGCCCCACTGCAGCTCCTCTCTGATGGTATTAGTGGCATCAGGATCAATTAATCCTGCAAGCAGGAAATAAAATGCGCTGGGCCTGAAATGACTTCCAGCCTCTGAACTCCAGCAACTCCAGTGCTGATTATTTAAAGCTGACAGGTGTTGATTGGGGTGTTCTGGTGGTGTGGTGTGACTCCAAGCGAGCGTTCGGAAATATCCAAAAGTGTTAAGTCAACTCTAATGGCTGTGAACTTTTACAGTCACTGACACAGCACCGATTTCTCACTCTGCGACTGAAATTAACCACAATGATCTTCCGTCCGTGGGAAGAACAGCAGCTGAAGACGGAGGAAACTCCCCGTGAGCCCTGACAGACTGACGGGATCTGCATTGAACGCTGTAAGCCCGATGAAGCGCTTACGCCGGATGAAAGCTGCGACTGTTAATGATAAAGGAAGCAGCTAGAGACAAAGCAGCAGGCCTGTTGGGTTGCAGGCCGGTGTCTGAAACCAGCTTCGGCAGCGCTCGCCCGCTTCGCACCCCTCAATCTGCTCGCCAACCAAAGCCCCGTTGTTATCTCAGGCTAAGAATAGCCCTCGCCGTCCCACGCCTCCTAAAGCCCGCGAGGCTCTTTAAACATCTCATGACCATTTTATTTTCGAGTTCTGACAAACGCGCATCGACAAGTGGTGTTCGAGTCGTGGCGAGAGCATGACTCACAGCGACAGAAGGGTAGTCAGCTGTGGGCACAGTAACACTCGGGATGCCTCATCCCCCTATTTTAGCCCACGAGAGCTCAGGAGGAGAGGAGGGAAAGCGCCTAAAGGATCTCAAGCTCATCTCCCGACGTGATAAAGCGGGCTTATTCCACAGCACGTTTTCTTTACCTTCAACCCGAAGCTTCAAAAATAGAAAAAAAATAACCCAATCTTCCCTTTCCTTCTCGTAACCCAAAAGTTTGAAAAGCAGGGAGCCAAAGATTAGACTCATCATCCTGTAAATGCACAAGGCTTTTCATAACACGAGAACTCGATCCTATTTTGGATGATATTGATTTCAGAGATGGGGACTCGCTCAGACAGAAGAAATGCTGCGAGAGAGGCGGGAAGAGGAGGAAGGGGAGTGTGACTGACTCTGTTTGGCTGAACCATTGCTGCTGTCAGATTTACAGAAACAAAGACAAAAAAATGAGCCTGCAAGGTTTATCTTTGCATAAACGCCCCGTGCACCGCCATGCCGGGCAGCTGCGACGCAGGAGGGGGTCGTAAAGCAGTCAGGAGCTCCTGCAGTGGACGACTTATAAATAAAAATAAGAGATGGCCCCACTCAGAGCTGTTATGAAGGAGAAGCTATCCAGAGAGGCTGAAGCAGGCTGTAAACATGTTTATTCCCCCTGTAAAGTCGGACGTTTTAACACCCGAGTCCACAGAGACTGGCTCGCTGCAGGAGAACATTAGTTTGCACACTGCCTTCATTTCTCTGCTCCAGAGGTTGCCCCTTGGTCTGAAGGTACTCAGCACATTACTGCTTATGTAAGCATGTAAGGGGGGGTAGAGCCCAAAACCCAAAGTGGAATTCCAGGGTTTCCTTTCCAAACCTCAAAGACGGGCCAGCAGGCTTTGTTTCAGTGGGCCAGCACACAGCAGGCCAAACACGAAGCCTGCACCACATCTATTAGGCTCATCATTGCAACGAGCAGCTCCGAGAAGCCCGAAGAGCGTCTTTAACAAAGGCTGGGGGGCATTTCAGAGGCGAGAGCAAACGCTCGCCCTTACGGGTCAGCGCAGAGACGTCTACTACCGGACAAGCAGAGAAAATGTGATGAGGAGCAGCCGGAGAGCAGGAAAAGGCATCTTTCCCCCGACGCAGACAGAGACGTCAAAACGTTTCTCACCTCGCAGTGCCGCTGCAGCTCTCCGACAAACCGATGACGGCTCAGAGTGCGCGTGGCGTCTCATCAGAAGAGGAGACCAGGTTATTTACTGCAGCTGCCGGCAGCACTGATCTGGTTTTTAGAGCTTTTCTTGCTCGGGGACAGTTGGGTGAACACGTTTGCCTTTTTTTCACATGTTCACATCTGACTGCGTTTGAAACAACTCAGCACCACAAGTCCACATCTGGACCTAACAAGCAGCAGGTCACTGGCAAAAATGGAGAAAAAAAAAAGAAAGAAACCAGCATCTACGACCTCTTAAACCAAACCCGACAGCAGCCGAATCACTGATAACCCAACCCTAGCAACTGCCCTCCTACATGAGCAACACGGGCAGGCAGCCACACACACCCAAAGGAAAACTGCTGACATAAGCTTCATGCAGATAAACAGGCCTGTGGCTCCTTGGAGCCAGGGAGAAACGGTCTGGGGTGCAAATCCCAAACAACCAGAGCCCAGGACCAAAGCAACTACGTTACTCCCACAAAAACTGCATCGGGGTTTCACGGGCATCAGAGACGCCCCGCCCTCCCTCAGCTCTCCTGGGGAGACACGGAGGCGTTCTCAGGCTAGAAACACAGGAACTCCACCCTTCGAAGGTGGAGGACCACGGCCAGCTTCTGCAACTATCTTCACAGATATGTCCACGTTTCTACACACTACTTCATCTTCATGTTTGAAAGAGGAAACAAATCAAGTATTAAACTGATGAAGTCATGACCCACAGCACAACCCTCTCGCTGTAGTGTTGCAGTGCTACAGAAATCCAACTGAAGCCTTTTCACAGAGAAAACGTTCAATATTCCGACTTTTCTTTGTCCAATACGATCGTGAGCAGGTGTTAAACTGCCAAACAAAACAAGACATTTAAAAGTGTGACTGTGAGCTCAGTCAGCGTCTAACAGACACGTTTACAGGCTGAAAGTCTGCCGTCATCCACAGTCAGGCCCACCGCAGAACCCATCACCCACTCACATCAGGAAATGCATTTTGTTTACTAGCATGGCGACCTATCAGTGCATGCCTCATTTTTGTACATTGACTTCTGAAAAATTTATCTGATCATTGCCTAATAAAACGACTTTCATCCACAGTGTCCACAAAACGGCCTCACGTGGAAGGAAAGCAGCAAACGATGGGCACATACACACTTTCACAGCTGGACGTCAGAGTCAGCACACACACACACACACACAGTGAACAAATTAACAGTCCGGTGTAGAAACACACACACTCATCGCCACCATGACGCTGATCAGCTCCGGCTCTCAGACGGAAACAAACATTGTTCTCAGTGTGAAGCATTAAAGTCGGCATGTGTACAAAACACACCAGCCCCATCAACATGACGCCTGCTCACACACACACACACACACACACACACACACACACACACACACACACACACACACACTGTGCTCAGCTGCAGCTCTGGCTGATTTACGTCACTGAAGCCTCGACAGAATAGAAGAGAACAGAATCCATGGTGATGTACTGAGGAGGTATTGATCTACTTCCATTGGTGGTAATAGGAAAACAGGTGGACCTCCAGGCCTGCTCCTGCTTCAGACAGAGGGTAATAGCACCCACGGGACCGCTCAAAACCCTCCAAATTACCCATTACTGAACAGCACAGCCCCTTAATTTATGTAGGGCCCGTGAAGCAGAGGGGCCACATTACTCTGGACCAAAAAAAACCATGAAGAAAGCAAGCTGAGAGTGAAGAAGTTTAACAGATAACTGGAGCAGATCAGAGCTGAGCAGAGGTCAGCCTGGATCAGCAGAGTGTCTGAAATAAACCCGCTGTGCACCGAGTGCAGAGCCCGCGCCGCTCGGGGTCCAGCAGCAGCACACGGACGCGTTCCTGCTCCGCTGGCGTGAAGCAGCCAATCACGTCGCGTGGTTAAAACCTCTGCACGCCTCACGCAATTCACGAAAACTGCAGCTACCGATCAGCTTGGACCAGAAGACCGTTCACCGGTGAGAAAATGACGTCATGGAAGCGCCACTTTTTAGATATAAAGCGAAAATATTCAGTTTTCAGGAGGAAATTTCTGCTTTAAAAATGATCGAAATCTGGATTATTTCATAACGACGTGAATATTAACAGACTGATTGATGAGTCCAGCAACACCAACACTGAACCGGAGCAGTGTGTGAGCCCCCCTCACTCCCCCTCCCCCGGTCAGAGGAGACGTCCCCGCGCCGCGGCAGACTGTCAAACGTCTCCATGGCGAAGAGGACGTGAGAGGAATGAAGAAGAGTCGGGCGAAAACACCCTGCGGTGCGCACCTTCCTCACCTCTCCCCCCGCTGCTCACCCCGCAGTCCCGAGGAGCTGCTGATGAGGTGGAGGTTTGCGTCCACGCCGCCCGGCACGTTTTCACGCGCCTGGTGCACTTCGGCCAACTTCCAGCCCAGCAGAGAGAGAGAGAGCCCGGGGAGGGTGCAGGGGAGCCGGCGGGTCAGCGAGCCGCTCAGCCTCCGTCCGAGTGTCCGAGGAATGCTGCCCCTGACTGCCGCGCCGTGTCCGCGTCAGGGGCAGCGTTCCACACATGACGCCTAAAATAAGCCCGACTGTGACCGAGAGGCGTTTTAGAAAGAGGCACCCCCCCCCCAACCCCCGAATTAAAAAGCACCTGTTCGGTTCTGAAGCCCCAGCCGCGGACACGGAGGACAAGCAGGGCTCCGGGGCGTGCTGGAGCGCTCCGAACGCACCGATATTCACACTTAAACACACCGGAAGCACCGGCGGGAAGCCGAGCCGCCGCGCGGTGACGCACAGAGCCGAGAACACACTGACCGTGAGCGCTGCTGCGGGTCCGGGTCCTCCCGACATTAATCCCGCTTCCCTCTCCGCTGCTGCCGCCGCGGTCACACCGGAGCTGGTGGCGGAGGAGGCGACGGGGAGCTCCGGTTACCTCTTTCCTGTTCACTCCGGAGTGCAGCGGACGAACCGGGCCGTGTGTCGGTGTCAGATCTCCAAAGTTGCACACGAAGCAGAGGCGGATGTCCGTAAAGCTCCGAGTGGAACACCGCCGGAGCTGAGGGAGGCACGGCAGCTGGAAAAATCCGAGGACCCGAGAAGAGCTGAGAGCCACCGGAAAAGCACAAGACGGAAATCACGCCGCTGTGCGCGGAGCTCAGAACCCGCAGAGCACCAAACCCGGCGGTAGAAGTTCTGCTGCCACCGCGGGTCTCCGAGTCTCCGCGTCCCGCACTCCCGACGTCCTCTTCACAAATGTCCGCTACCCAGCCTGAAGGATGAATTTCCACCCGGAGGAGGAGGAGTGAAGAGAGAGGGAGGGAGGGCAGTGTCTCGCATTCTCTGAATTACTCCACCCTCCAAGCTGCCCCCACCCTCCCCTCAGCGCCGCCACCTCTCCACCAGTGGCCTGCGCGCGGGGGCAGCACTTATTATTATTATTTTGTGTTTTATAATTAGTTCTTTAGTTTTCAAGCCAAATGTGTGTGTAACACAAATCTACCAGACAAATACACCAGACAGGAACTGGATTTCAAAATAAAATACAAAATATAAAAGTTTGTTTGCATTTCATTTTTCAAACAGTTATTAATCAGTAAAATTACAAATCAGTCAAAGGATGAAGTACAACATCCAAACAAGATTAAGATCTGCGACACCAAATTCTAGTGAACTTAATTCAAACATCCAAAAGTTAAAAACGTGTGGAAACATATCAAATATAGGACAGAACAAGAAAAAATAGAAATGTACAACAAATAAAGCCACAGTCTGATGTGAGGTGTTCAGGAAGTTCGTTTCACACCGCAAAGATCTACAAGCTGATTCTGGTTCTCAGCGTGGGAGCGCAGACTGAGCCTGCGGAAATGTGCGAGCGCATCTGAAACGTAACTCGGTCCGCTCGTGCTTTTTAAAGCAGTGAAAGGATTTTCAAGTCTGTCCTTTGAAACACAGCAAGGCGACACAGCTTTGTGAATGTGCGCGTTGCTGTGGTTGAACCTGCTGAACGCCAACACGTGAGCGAGTTTTCCTCCGTCTAAACGAAACTCAGACGCGCAACTATTCCAGGATTTCGGTCCTGATTTGGAGATTCTGGTTTTCAGGTGGACTTCAGTCTTTTGTTGCAGCGGATTTAGGCACTGATAAGTACACCTGTGTGTCATCAGCAAACATATAAACAGTATCTGAAATCTGAGCAGGAGCGAATCAGACGCTGAGGTTTGGTTTGTTCAGATTCATCACTGCAGTCCAGTTTCGCTCCAGCTGGTCTCCGGAGCTGATTTTACTTTAGTTTTCATTAGTTCATTCATTTTAATTATTATCACACAGAGGTTGTTTGTCAGAGGCTAATATTAAAAAATGCATCTTCACCTTTCTCACTTTCTGCCTACAATCATCACTGTTCTTCCACGCACTCTTCTTTCTTTCAGTCATCCTTCAAACTGTCGCCCTTTTGATGGCCTATCTCATAATTATTGAAACGCACCGTTATGCACCAGTTCCCACACACAGGCGTGTTGTGGGCCTCCCTTCTTGTTGTTTTGCGTTGAGAGATCTTGTTTTTCTTCGACATGAACGCTGGAGTCTCTGCAGGAGTCTCAGTCGTGTTGGTCTGTAAGAGCGACGCCACACGTCCACCACAATCCCAACATGACAACAACTGAAACGATTACGATGTTACATAAAGAACATGAAGGGCTTTCTGTTGGTGTTGCAGAAACGATCCTTACTCAGAAAAACCAAGAACAAATTATTAAAACATGTATGTAAAAATATCCTCCGTGATGTGGATGAAAAGGCCATAAGTCAATATTAGCAAGTAAACTACACACACTTGCATATATGAAGTTAAATGTAAATGATGTGGAGATGCTGTTTGCACCAAAATATACTAAAAGCGCCTAAAGTAAAAGTATATATTATTTAGAATCATGTGCATATTGTTGCCTTATAATTATTCATGAATTCATTAAGCTGTTCATCATTTCAATGTTGCAGCTGGAAATAAATACATGTATGATAAACTGTAGTTTTATTTACAGCACTGGATTTAAACTTTGAAACGTGCTGATTAATGAGTGACAGTTTTAAACTAAGTGAGAGTCCTGCTCGATCTCTGGCTGCCTCCCTCCTGTTGCAGCGCAGCCTCAGGTGAGCTTCCACACTGTTCTCTGTCTTCATCTGTGAAGCGTTCACCCTCTAATCATGAGCAAATAATCAATTTGTTGACTCAACGCCTCCTCCGGTGAGCTGAGACGCTTATGACATCGATCCAGGATGTGAATAATCATCGTGCAGGGCTTGTCGATATCTGTGCACTGCAGTTAAGTCTTAACAGCTCATAATGAACAAGATAATATCTGACATTTAACTTTGACCAAATCCTCTCATATTTTGAATTCAGCTTCTTTTATTTTTCTATTGTATGACAGATCCAGACAATACCCACCTGTCTGATGTTTGTTAACCATTTCTCGTCTCCATTTCCCAAATAAGTCAAACTCTGAGGCACCAAAGAGATCTAAAAACGCTCCAAGTCCCACTCCAGGAAAATGATCTGATCAGAAATAAATCACACACTCCGCCAACACTTTGGGCGTAAACAAAGACAGAAAACTGAAGAGCAGGTGGGAGAACCCTGACCTCAGCTGACGTAAAGTGATGAGGTAGCTGGTGGCTAGCTGCAGAGCTATGGCCAGGCTAATAGAAAAGATCCAAAGTTTAAGACCACTTGAAAAATGGCAACTAAAAAAAATCATATTTTGCATGGTTGGATCTTAACAAGGTTCCGAGTAGAGCTTCAACATGCAACAAGAAGAAATGGGAGTGACACAAAACATCTTTTTGAGCATGCAGTTTATTGAAAACAACTGAAGCACATTAGCAGAGTGAAGCTGGAGGATGAGGAGTCAACTGTTCTCAGTAGAAGTTCATGTTGAGGGTCTCAATCTCAGTCAGCCTGACTCTTTACTGAAGCGATGGGCACACCGGGAGCTCCTGGGCTGCACCCTGAGACTTTAACTGAACAATTTGCTGCACATGAGCAGAGCTGACAAAAAGATGCAGAGGCTGAGAATGATGGCTGAACAGTCAAAGAAGCTCATCCAATGTTTGAACCAGAGACAGAGTCGATATATTAGAACTTAACGAGAGATTCGTGTATAAGAAGAACCTGGTGAGAGTGAGGAGGAAGAACTCTCTTTTAACAGGAAGCAACATGCAGCAGATCCAGGCTCTGCTGGTCGGTCGGGGCGAAGAAATGAGAATAAAGCAGCCCTGTGATTTCAGAGCTTCTCTGCAGCATAAATATTATCTGTGCAGATGTTTTCAGAGAGGAAGCTGAGCTGCTTTTCAAAAACCCCTTTAAACTGCGTCTGCGTGGGGCCGGAGGCTTTGTCTCCATGCCTGCATTGCTTGTGTTGGCTGTATGGACAGAGTGAAGGCACCTGCAGAGGTTTTATGCATGTGCCTGCATTTCAGCACTGCGTGAAATGAGGCTGATTGGATATAAAAGCTCAGCTAAGTGTTTTATGAAATCATAAAATCATTTTTTATCCGTAGTGAAAGCCTCGTGTTTCTAGGAGAGGGTCTGAACTGTAACCTCGCACGATGGGACCGAGGCTTAAAAAACAGACTTTTGCTTGGAGATGTGTAAATGCTAACGCCTTAACGTCTTTAACCCATTGTTTGTCGCATGGCGTTGAGTGCTATCCCGCTAAAGGTGCCGTTAATGAAGCAGAGCTCTGATTGGAAGGTCACTCTCCAAAATCTGAGCCAGCGATGAGGAGAGAAGCGAACACAGCGCTGCTCAGGGAGCATACGGTACGTAATGATGTGAGCGTGAAGCAGGGTGGTGATAAATGGACTGCATGTATACTGTGCCTTTATCTCAAGAGCACTTCAGAGCACTCTCGATGTCTCGCATTGTTCTGACGGCACAAACGGCGTTTCATACACTACACGAGGCGCCGAGCGGCGGGAGTAGGCCGAGGCTCACAGAAGCTTCAGCTTGGCCAGTTTACTACTCGTTTCATGGAAACTAAGACGTTAACACATAAGAACTGAGGAGTAGTTTGTGTCATTCTGAGAATATTTGTTTATCCAGCTCTCCATTTTCTCCTTATCTGATTCAGATTCAGACGTGTCAGGAGTCTTCGTAATCAAGTCATAAAATTACTGACGCATCAGCGGTTGATGCATCAGCGGTAGAGAGGACGGTCGTCATTTAAACATCTGCAGCTTCTGGATACGGAGTCTGTGAGGAAGGCGATGGCAGCCAGAGTCCTGCATGCACCGCAGCCCCAAACCTTTCTACACGTTACGCATGAAGCATTACATCTGAGGCCATAAAGTCAGACTTTAACCTGTCAGCTCGCATGTACAAAGTCCATGTGATGCAAAACAGAACAGAGCAGGTGATCGACTGGTCTGAGACTCTGAACCAAACAGACGGTGATGTTCCAAAAACCCTCCAGCGAGTGTTTGGTGTGGAAACGGCTCATTTCTGCCACTTTGGTCCTCAGTCTCAATCTTTCTGTCAGCTC